CGCGCCCCGGGTCGCTGTTCCTGGTTAACCTGGACGACAATGCGACCTTATGCAGTTGCGAGCGCCGCACAACCTTACTAAAACATTTTTTTAAACTCTTTCCCAGCGCAGCCAAGTCATGTCATAGAAAAATGAGAACGAACTATTATGCTTTGTGTTTTCCTGAAATGCTGCCAACGTTTTCTATAGTTTTAATTTTGTAAACTAAAAAAACAAACTTAGTACGGTAACTGTATTTCATTCACGACTATTCAAGCACCTCTGTTAACTGAGATGGGAGTGTGGGTTGCAGGCGGGTGCTCTGGTGTTGTTTGCTCCTTCTTTCCTATCCAGAATCTGTCATCCTTATCCCTCCTCCTTTTTGTATTTTTTACTCTCTTGTAATACCTCTAAACTGTGACACTTATATTGCCGATTGTGTTGCAAGTGCCGTAAAACCCTTACTAAAACAAATGGCGGTGGGGGATTGAGTATACATCAACTTTCTTAATTGCATATTACGCACTCGACCCCATCATTGAAAGCAGTAGCCGCTTTGTCCACGTCCTCTGCTCTGATACGATAAAATGCATTTGAACGTTTATGTCTTAGACAAGTCCTCAGCCAGGACCTTTCAAAATCAATCTTTTTGGTTAACCAAGTATGAGATTTGAGTAGGAAAAAAAGTTTTCTTCAGATGAACTGCCTACCAAGATCTTCCTGTCATTATCTTTTTCCTCAGATACAAGAGCCAGGTACACGTAATGCCCCCTTTCGTGCAGAACATAATCATTCAGATTCAAGTACATGTATGTATAGTTGATTGAATCAGAACATCTCAAGCGATGGCGATTGTCTCTTTACTTTATAAAGGGAAGGGACTCTGCAGGAGGGAGCTAAAAAGTGGATGCCAGTTAGCTAAGCTATTCAGAATCAGGGTGCTAAAGATAGTTTAAAATTCAATACACTTAAATCAATGTGACTTCCTAAAAGGTAGAAATACTGCCAGTCTTCTGAGTAAATTGGATAATAATTAAAAATACTCAATAGCATTAGTATGGCGCACTACCCCTCTCTACAGTAAACTCTATGGGTTTTGTACTATATTTTTGCCGAAGCAGACCTTAGAACATTCAGAAACATTCTCAGCTTCACCGGAAGCATACAGTGCATGCAGCTGATTAAGCGCTTAAACACTACCAAACTGACAATATATTTCACTGTCTAAAGTTGGGTACCCATTCTCACCTGGGTGAAGTGAGGAAAATTCGTGTAAAGTGCCTTTCTTGTGGACACAATGTCGGGTCCCTGACGGGATTCGAGCCCACTTCCTCACGGTTGCAAGTCTGAGAGACCTATCACAAGGCCACCGATACAATGCATTGATGTATATTATCAAAAATATACAACATCTAAACTTACTGTCCTTTCATTTGACTACGAAAAGGCATTTGGTACTATTTCTGAAAGTGAGTGGGTAAATATATTATTATGTAGAGCATTCGAGTTGTGTGATGTATTCATGCGAACGATTGAAACATTTATGACCAGTAAAAAGGTATGTGAAAGGGAAAAAATGTTTTAAATCAACTGAATGGGAAGCTCAAAAGTGAATCCCATGATTATATCCAGGTTAACCATTATTGTTTGTTTTTTTGTTTGTTTTCGTAAAGTGTTTTACGGCGCTCGCAACTGCATAAGGCCATATGAGCCTAATATTTGGAAATTTGGAATTTTGCCCGGGTGGTGGCCGAAGCCTACTCTTATCGATTTTTAGACCACCAAAGGATCTTTAACGTGCGCAACTTGCACACGGGGCCTCCGAGATTTTTCGCCCTTGTCCGAGAAGATCAGGGGTGTGGCTAAAAGACAGCAGTAAGAAGAAGCGAAGGAGTAGCAGTAGAAAGGCTGCAGAAAGAATCAGGAGACCAGACGAAGGGGCAAAGGAGGTGAGGGGGTGGGGGCAGAAAGAGGAGACGAAAGCAGACGACAGAACATTGGTAGAGAGCAGGAAATGATGTGAAAGGAGACACATTTAGAGAAGAAAATTTTTCGGTCGCTACCCGGATTCGAACCCGGGACCTCTTTGAATGAGAGGCCAACCTCTAGGCCACGAGAGCCCCCATTGTCTGTTTAGGTCGTAGAACTGTTGGAAATTAAAATATGGTAAGACCCTTAATCAAGGGAATTGAGATACCCAACTAAGTCCACTGTACAAATATTAGACAGTATGCTGATGACACAGAATTTTTACTTAGACCATGAGACCTCTGGATTGCATTTAAGCAAAGATAAATCCAAGACATTCTGTCCTGTAAACCACACGTACTCTTGTGACTAACAGCAAGGCATATAGTTTAGAGTGATTTGGCGGACATTCTTATTCCAGAGTGACATATTTTCAACTTTGTGTCATATTTGCTTTCTGGCTGCTGATAATATCCGAAAGTGTCATTGCATTGTAGTGAGGGCATTAAAAAAAAAGGAGAACACCAATATGCAGTGCCCTGAACATCTTCATGATTTTTACACTTTCACTTGCCACTCCAACTACAGAAAACGAAGACATCAAGATGAAGAACGGATTTGTGTA